TTATGTAACAATAATCCACACTTTCCTCGTAAAATACTTTTTTCTGACGAAGCTACATTTTGTTTGAATGGTACAGTCAACCGTCAAAATTGTAGGTACTGGAGCAGAGAAAATCCTCATTGGGTTGTAAAAGCAAATTCCCAATACCGGCAAAAAGTGAATGTCTGGGCAGGAATGGTGGAAAATCGGATCATAGGTACTTTCTTCTTTGACGAGAATATAACAGGACAAACGTATTTGGAATTTTTGTTGCATTAGCAGAAATATTTCCCAATAAGAATGGAGGTCCCGATCTTCCAAGTGATATCATTTGGTTTCAACAGGACGGGGCACTGTACTTTTTTGGACACATGTTTTCCTGAAAGGTGGATTGGCAAACGATGACCGATAGACTTGCCAGCGAGATCTCCAGATCATACTCGTCTCGATTATTTCTTATGGGGCTACCTTAAATTAAAGGTCCACCGACCACAAAGTTTAGAAGACTTGAAAAATCAAAAATGGCGGGAAATATTAAAATTGTATATCAATACTTTTGCCGCTCACTGTATATTAGAAATATTCAATAAGACCCTTATTTATATTCCCAACACGGAGATATTGAAATTTTGTGGAAGGTGAATAAATATCTCGTTTAAGGATGAGATGGGCAGCTGGAGGAAAATCTGTAATCCGTTTTAGTTTAAGACCGGGCGTTCGATTTTCCGCCGTGGGACATGACGTGATTTCGATAAGGAATATTTGCATGCATCAAAAGTCCATTCAACAAGTTTCGATGACCTTAAACGATAATTGAAAACAAAGTTGCATTCTTTTGGCTTTTTTGTATAATTTTTTTAACCAAGGTTAAGATAAGAGCCTTATTAAAACTTTTATTTAATTAAATTAAAATGCAAGTTTCTAAATTAGGAAATATTTGAATCGCAAAACTTGTCAGCTTGAAATCCAAAATAAAAAATAAAGTTTCATTAAACTGTAAGCGCGGTTCATTAGTTAGGCCACTCGGATTTAATTCTTTAAATAAAGTTTTCTAGCAAACTTTTTACGTACAGCTTGATTTAAAAGCATTCCAATGTTCCTAATTAGATCTCTATAGCTATCTACGTTGGACTGTTAAATTAGCAAAAAATAATACCCAAGACATTTACTGATCTATTTTAAGTGAACGTTATCCATCTTCGTTTCTTCTGCGATTTATTAAGGATTCCTTTTATGAGATTTATTTCATTTTTAATATTTAAGAAGGCATTATCTTTATATTACCTCATAAACAAGAGGGCCATTTCAGGCGCTCGGTACGCACGAATTACAAAACTGTTAAAAAAATTGTAGATAATTTATTATACAATATTTTGGCATCAAAAATATTCTTGTTTTATTGGCTTTACATTAAATACAAAAAAAAACGCAATAAATATTTTATAAAAGTAGAGATAATTTTAATAATTGCCCACACCAGTCAATTATTTCTTGCATTTTTGTTATTTAATGAATAGCCTAATAAAAGTATAATATGTTTGAAAATTTTGATGCCAAAATATTATATAATACATTACCTACCATTTTTTTTTATAAAAACATTTTTGTGATTTGTCCCGTCCGCATGCTTGAAATGGCGCAATAGTCAAATTGTGTCAGGTTTAGAGATTTTGGAGTCCACCTAGATATTAGGTGCTTTCCTTTCATTTTTGAAGTGAGCCAAGCAAAAGTGAGATAAGCGAGGCCACTTACGCGCACTCATCTTACCTAAAATAGACCAAAGGAACGGTTGGTAAGCCTATTTTCTCTAAAAGTGACACTTGACAGTTTAACCCTTAAGCCTGAATTATAGATTGCCTTCCTTCCTTCCTTCCTCCCGTAGTCGTGCCCGTACGGTACGGGAATCTATAACTGGCAATACGATTTGAATAAACATTTTTAACGTAATTGTCACCATTAACATTGCCCGTTATTAATTTTAATTAAACTTAACAATTATTGATAATTTAAAATATTAAAATTACTTAAAAATATGATTTTGTTAAGAAAATATTTTATTCTTTGATTTTTTTTATTACTATAATTGCAAAATTTTATCACAAAGTATTAAAAATACCTAAACGGGAAATGTTAATGGTGACAATTACGTAATGTTCATCTTCTACGGGAGGAAGGAAGGCAATCTATAATTCAGGCTTTATGTTCTGTGGTTTAACCATTTCCCTCAACGGTTTAACGCAAAGATTAAAGACTTAACGAACAAAATGTCGAATCAAATAATACAGGTAGTTAAAAATATAAATCCAATTTAAACAATAATAAATACCTTTTTTTTTATTCTTTAATTTTATAGAATGTAATATTCAGCAGCGATTCTGAAAATACTAGTTTAATCGTATCGTATCATCGTAATCGTAAATTACTATTTAAATAGTCATACCTACAATTGTAGGTATTCTAGTCGCCGAATGAATCATTCAATTTGAAATCCGAATGAAAATATGCGATTAATAATCGCGGATTACTTAATTCAAAAATAAACGGCCATTATTAATCGCATACTTTCATTCGAATTATCAATTCGATTAAATTATTCCGATATTGAAATCCGAATGAAAGTATGCGATTTATAATCGCCGATTATTTAATCGAATTATCATCCGATTATTGAAATAATCGTATCGGATATAATCGGTTATTGATATAATCCGATTATGCCCATCACTAATATTGTTTTAATTTTCTTCTGTTTTGTTTGATAACCTCACTTTTTGGCGTGCATCTATCCCCACCACCAAGTAATCAAAATTTCTCATTTGTAAGTGTGCTCCGGAGGTTGTGCTTGATCGGTAAGGGGGGAGGTAAAATTCTCACTTTGGCTTACCTGTCATTTTGCAAATGGAACGGTCTCTAAAGTGAGATAAACCAAGGTGAGGTAAGAATATCTAAGAATCGTGGCAAAAGGAAAGCACCTATTATATTTCATATAATATTTTTAGTTTTAGAAACTAAAGAAAATAAAGATACTAAAGAAACCAAAGAAACTAAAGGTACTTAAGGAACTAAAGATACTGAAGAAACTAAAGAAACTAAAGAAACTAAAGAAACTAAAGAAACTAAAGAAACCAAAGAAACTAAAGAAACAAAAGAAACTAAAGAAACTAAAGGAACTAAAGAAACTAAAGAAACTAAAGAAACTAAAAAAACTAAAGAAACTAAAGAAACTAAAGAAACTAAAGAAACTAAAGAAACTAAGGGTATGTTCCGTAAATACACACGAGTTACCGGTCTGGTTACTGAAATAAATTCCTGGTTTTCTCGGTTAGTTCATATTTACGGGACACCTTTATTTGAAAAAAAAATAACCCAACTTACTTTTTTATTGAAACTTTTATTTGTGTCAAAAACTACAACTTGCATATATTTTTAATAATATTTCTATAGTTACATAAACAAACCTAAAACACCCTATATACTGAATTCAATTATTTTTTGACAAAACGTATTTTGTATGCGAAGTCTGCTCCTGTGTTAAATTTTTAGGTTAGATAACCAACAAAAAACAGTAATTTTGTTTAGGGCAACACTGTTTCCATTTGGTTTGTAGCACTGGTAACCGATTTAACCGATCATACAGCGTCGGTCGTTTCGGTAACGATTGATTAACCTATTTTTCAGGAACCGCGTTTCTTAACTACATAATTTTCAGGAATTTTTCATTTACGGGACACCTTAACCGAAACCAAACCAACCAAGTTGATTTACGGAACATACCCTAAAGAAACTAAAGAAACTAAAGAAACTAAAGAAACTAAAGAAACTAAAGAAACTAAAGAAACTAAAGAAACTAAAGAAACTAAAGAAACTAAAGAAACTAAAGAAACTAAAGAAACTAAAGAAACTAAAGAAACTAAAGAAACTAAAGAAACTAAAGAAACTAAAGAAACTAAAGAAACTAAAGAAACTAAAGAAACTAAAGAAACTAAAGAAACTAAAGAAACTAAAGAAACTAAAGAAACTAACTACTGAAACTACTGAAACTAAGGAAACTAGAGAAACTAAAGAAAACTTCATAAACAAGTTAAATGTGTCAGGCCAGAAAGTTTGGGGGTCAACTAATAATATATATAATATTATTATATATCCTATAGGTCCTATAGTCCTAGAGTATAGGAGCACATTATATTTTATATATTATTTTTAGTTTTAAAAAGAAACTTAAGAAACTAAAGAACCTAGAGAAACTAAAGAACATAAAGAAGCTAAAAAAAATAAAGAATCTAAAGAAAATAAAGAAATTAAGGAACCTAGAGAAACTAAATAAACCAAAGAAACTAAACAGACTAAAAAACTATAAAAACTTAAGAATCTAAAAAAAACAAAAACAAAGAAACTGTAGATTCTAAAAAATCTAAAGAAACTAAGAAGCATAGCTTCAAAACCGACATTCTCTTTGTATATCTTACCTCATAAATAATAGTCAAATTATGTTAGGTCTAGAGAATTTGGGGCCAACTAACATTATGTTTTATATATTATTTTAAAAAGACACGTTTTTAAAACTACAAACTACACAAAAAGATAAAATGTGTATCGGTAGACAAACTTCCCGACTAAATTTTAAACTTTTTAATAAAAAGGCCGCGTCTTCCTTTCAATTCAATTAGCTTAAGCTTAAATGTAATTTTTTTACTTTCTAAGCTGTTGCAAGTTTACAAGAAACTAAACGTCCCGAGATAATTTATTCATGCTTTCCAGAGACAATGTGTTTCGTTAAAGGGGATTTTAATTTTTGCAATTTATTCTGCTTGAAGCCAAGTTTTATCAAAGTTTATTAAACTGTTTTCCAAGGGGCCTTTTAGGGCATAATCTGAAAGATATAAAATGGTTTTTAAACCCTTGATCTATTTTTAATCTTTTTAAAACAACTCAGTCCTTGTTGTACCGCAATGTAACCTTTATAGATGGAGACGGTATCCAACGGCTACGAAAATATCTAATTTGTTTTTATTTTTTTTCAGGTATGCGTATTCTGGTAATGTTACTTCTGGACACGCTGCCTATGCTGGGCAACGTCCTGCTTCTTTGCTTTTTCGTATTTTTTATTTTTGGAATTGTCGGTGTTCAATTGTGGCAAGGAATTCTACGTCAAAGATGTCAGCTTATTCTTCCAAACCTACCACCCAGCATACCACATCCGTAAGTAGTTGATTTGATTAAATTTTATTTGTTTTATATTTAGTATTATTAAGTTAAAAAACAAAAACTATCAAGTTAAGTTTTGAGCCAGTTCCCATTTAATGCATGTTTTAGTTAGTTAACATAATAAAATTTAATTAATCAATATTTTTGTATATTTTTGCTTTACTAATACATACTATTGTTTATCCAAAATAAGATCCACGTAAACCTATCACAACTGATGTAGCAAAAATAAATCTTATTTACCTAGTAAATACTAGTTATAAGGGTTAATTTGGTCTGTTTGTTGTCGATTATTTAAGGCAACAATTATTGGACCGATTAACCGTAGGCCCGTGGAAATCCAGTCAATTTATCCAATTACGAATTCAATTTCTCCAGATGATCAATACCTAATAAGGGTCACTAGATCGGGTATTATTACTATTCCTATTGCTGCATATTAAACTGGAGTCACAGGTACTCCACCTATGTTGCTCGTTGAAAGGTAGATGGCGCTGTGAGCTCTCGTTCGCCAGTTGTCACCGCTGTTTCCGTAACTTGACACTACAAAACAGCGAAAGGCGGATGTGTTGCGCCGCATGGCTACCCGGCACTTAAGAAGTCCAAAGCAGGCTGTCTGCAGACATGTCACCGACAAAAGATCACGAAAAAATTATTGTTATTTTCGAGTTTGCAGACCAAAATACATTGCTTTTTTATTAATATGTAAATCAGTATATAGAACAAGTTAAAAGTATCAAGTGGTTTGAAAAAAAGTTAATACAAATTGCCAGAGCCTATCTTAACGATGCCCAATTAGTTCTCAGCATGCGAAAATAACGTTACCTTTATCTTTTAACGTAACGTCCATATATTACTTCATACGGTTGTTTTTCTTTGGGAGATAAGAAATGGGATGTCAATAAAACAAATGGTCGTACGAATTCGCCCATAGCATTGTTTTGTGGAGGGAATTAGTATAGAAAGAGTGTTCTTTCTCTATTACGAGGGTTATGCTAAATGATGCTATATGCTATACTAAAGGATGACTATGTTGCATTCATAAAATTGTAATAATAATAAAACATGCAAAAGAAAATGTAAGCACGTTAATGTTTGCAAATAAAAATCTCGAACCACCAAAAGGCATCCTGTTTTTCATCCCCACTAAATTTAGTGGTGATAAATGATCAGCTCACTTTTTACGTCAAGAATGGCATTAATAAAATCTAAGCATTAATTTTCGCCATCCTAAATTTATTGACGTTGAAATGATATAAAAGTTCTTATTTTGGTAAAAAATTAACGTAATATTAAATATTAAAAACAATGAAAGATACTGAATTTGGTTTACAAAAACACCCAGTATGATATACGTATTTTGAAAGGTTCGTAAAAAGTTTTAGAAAGATTGACTTCTAGTTTACGAGTAAAAAAGTATTAAAGTTGCTAAGACCACACGGGATGTTATCGTTTATTATTTCTAAACTGTATTGTGAATGTTGACACAAATTTAGAAAAAAATCATGGATTTGTATGTTATAAAATATTTTTATCAATTAAATACATCACCTTATCTTTGTTTTCTGCTCTTCTCTTGATACTTTTGCTGCATTCAACATACCGGATGTTTTCTGTTGCTTTAATTTTGGTTCCCATACCTTTGTTAAATATTTTTTCTTTTCACAACTCATTTTAAGATTTTAAATAACACTGCATAAAGAAATGTCACTGCAACTGTCAAAAGCGAAAAGCGTTACCATAGAAACCAACTATCAACAACTCGCAATGTTGTGGCGTTTAAATCAATCAAAGGTAATAAAATGACAAAGTAAATTTTGCAAGTTGGTAGCTATTTCTATTTATGCACACTAAAAAAATAGAAGAGATCTATTCGTTTAAGTATATTACAATATTAGCTTAAGGTAGTTGTCATGCTATAAGCATACCATCAGAAAATTTTGAATTTTTGTATACTTATTAAGGACATGACAATACATATATCCTTAAAATTTGAAGTCGATTGACCGTCTATAACCCGAGATAAATTCAATTAAAAATTGGATAATTAACATGGATTGTATAGGCTTTCTGTAGTTCTGTACCAGTTTCTTAGTTATACAGAAAAAACTAACTGTCAGAAGCTTTCAAAAAACTAACAGTGTTTTAATGTATTTTTGCTGAGTTTAAAAAAAAATAATTAAAAATTTTTGACCGTCCAATTGTTTATAAATAACCGTTTAAAGTTCAACAATATGTAAAAAATATACATCACTAGTGTCAGATAAAAACAACTTGGCAAGGCTGTACGCGAGTATAGATATTATTTCCGCAGTAAATTCAAATGAACTGAGTCAGTCCAATTTATCTATTGGTTGAGCATAAGCGACGTTGCCGGATTAAAACTTATGAAAATATTTGAAAGTATTACGTAAAAATAACGTCTCCAGGGTACAGTCTTGCGAACAAATTATGAATCACTTAGCTACAAGCTCGTATACTTTTACGGTGCGTATAATCTAAAAATTTTTGACAATATTGTACCACGACAACTACCTTAAATCAAGACCAAGCGATTTCTTGGTACAAGAACCAAAAATATTTCTTTGGAAGATATTTCTCTTTTGAATGAAGAAAACGTTTTTTAGCTCAAAACTTTCTAAGAAATAAAATTAGTCTTGCTACTTTTGACCTAGCCACATTTTATTTCGATTTTAGAGCAAATATCTCTTGGTCCAATAGTATGTATTGCTTCATTTAAAAGCATCTGATCTTCACTGAAACTACCAGCGTTGTTAGTATTTAAGCTTAAATTCTCCTTATCACATAGGCCTTTTGATTTTAATTATTAAAACATGCATTTAACAATTAAAATCAAGGACCTTCGTAGTGAGGGGAGTTTAAGCCTTAATTGGCATGGTTGAGAACTAGAAGGTTGGCTAAAAAAAGATTTACAAACAAAAATATTTTAATAAAATAAGACATTTATTGTTTGATATCAACAAAAGTGCAAGATTTTTTATATCAATACTAATAAACTAACATAAATATGATTTAACATAAAATTTTTATTACATATTTTAATTGATACCTTACTTGAAAAAACATGAAACAAACTAATTAAATTCCATTTATTTAAATGACTCCAACTCCATCGTAAAAGTACATACAACACGCCACAACACAACACAACCGGCAAAATGTGAAATACCTATAATAGAATTGTAATATTATATCACTGCCACTAGAAAATGGCGAATTGCAAGTTGAAATGATACAAAACGTACTAAACACGGGTGCCATGTATCAGAAGCTACCAGATTTTGTTAGAAAATTGACATGCTATTCTGATAATTGTGATGTATCTTGAATAAATTGCGTAAATATAAGTAATTTTCATAGCTTTTGAACAAAAATTCGTTGCATTTTGTTCAAAGAAGAAACATTCAAGAGATTTTGTATTTGTTTTCAAGAGAACTATACTTCTTCAACTAAGAACTTTTTTCTTCAAGCAATAAATACTCTTTTATTCTAAAATATTGTTTCTTGTCGCTAATCATTTTTTATCATGATCATGAGAGTTGACTACTTTAGTTTAAGGGCACCTTTTTTTCTGTGCCTCAAGTATAAAAGCAACTCCCCTTGCCCCTTTCCCCGCAATGTACTGCTCAAACCTCCTCCCACCTATCCAAAAAACTATAGATACTCAGTGTAGTATCAAAAATCAGTTGTGGTAGGTCTGCGTTAAAATTGTTTTGCTTATTTGGTCCCCCATGTTTGAATGGTGCGGCTTTCGTTCTGTTACAGAGATATCTCCGATGAGTTCATTTTACGCTTGCCTGTTACGTAAGATATTGTGCTCTGCTATGCAACCCCAGTACTTAAAAAAATGCTCCATCTACTTTTCTGTGTCTATTGTTCTCTATGTTCATCTATCTTGTCTTGTTTATGGATTGTCTTCATCTATCTCTCTTATGTCTATGGATTGTCTTCACCTATATAATATAATATCTGTCCCACAATACACACAACAAGGTCTGTTCTATCTCTTTTGTAAAAAATAAACCATCAGGCTGTCAAATGTAAATTATAAGGTTAATTTGTGGGTATGGTAAATTTGTGGGCTATGGTAAATTAACCTTAAAATTAACATTTGACAGTTTGTTGAAAGCCCTGATAGGCTTACAAGTGCCTCTGTAAGAAACAACGTTTAAAACGATTTTTGATCTGTCTAAACAGTACAAACCCAAAGCACATGAATTGTAATCAATATAAAAATGGCCGCCGTTAAAGTCTGTGCGGTGGGTTGCCTAACTTCGGGATTTTTAGTTTGCGCGAAACGAGATAGAACAGACCTTGTTGTGAGGATTGTGATCTGTCCTATAATTTAAAGAATGTAAAATTTACTTTATTGGGGTGTTTGCATTTACATTTAATTAAAAACATAATTATAATTTTTTAATATCTCCTTTCGCGGTCGAGAAGCTGTAAAATTTATTTTAAGTTCTTCTTCAAAAAATGTGCAAACCTCCAATGAAATAAATGTTATTTTGATATAAATTTAAATATCATGCGCTCTATAAAGCATTTGGTTCAACAAGGTTTTTTTAGTAATGTAGTAATACACCTGTTTGGGAGAATTATAATTTTCTATGGTTGTGGTAGTTGAAGTTTTTTTTGCAATGAAAACTATAGAAGAACGAATATTGATTACCCATTTTACATACCTTTTAATTAATTATTTTTTTGGTATAACCTACAAATAATAAAATGAAAACCGAAGTCACTGTAATAATAAAAGCAGAAATGTGCTAAAATATTTTAGAGGCATATTTTTAATTTGGCTGAACCTTAAATTGTATAAAACAATAAAACTGACAAAAATAAAAAATCGTCCTTTTTTAACAAAAAATTATTAAAAAAGAGATTTACAATCTAAAATAAAAGCACTTAAATGTGACCATTGTTCAAGGAAGTATTAGAAATTCACTGTCAAAATGATTGATAAGGGTATA